AAGTAGTTCTATCTGGTACCCGTGAAGCATGCCGCAGTATGTCGACAGTGGGGGGGGGGGGGGACAGACATCGCACCCACGTACATGGGCGAGGTCGATCCTAACATTTTCTTGTCTGTGGGTTGTTGAATCTTGACGAGCGTAGCAAGCAGTCGGCTTGATCCGATTTTCGGAGTTGATCAAAGGCACGAGGTGGGTAACTACGTGGGAGGCGAGGGGGCTCCGTTTTTATCCTCGCATCGTCGCTGTGTACGTGTGTTTTTGTTTATTCTTTTTTCCGGCGGATAAGTATCGTTCTGGTTGGAGCGACGCCTGTTTTGATGCTACCACCTACGTCTACACCGGTGTTTTTTTTTTTTTTTTCTTAGTATGACGCAACGAATCCATCTCTATCATAGAAAAGAGTCTGAGACAGATTAGCAATGAATTCATGGCGTCAGAAAGTACCTGTATGTCTACGATTTCCCAGACAGCATATAGGGACATTGTTTTTCGTTTATTTCGTTCAATGTTGCCGCACATGTATGTCACTGGCCAATGCATGTCGTCGCGGCATTGGGCGCAACGCCGGTTGCCCTTCTTCCTGATTTCGTTTCCCCTTTCCTTTTATTTTATATGTAGGGCGTGTCGCCGGCAAGAGTGAAGACTGTAGGGCAAGACAAGAATGCTTTGTGCTAAAGGGGGAAACTTCGGTATGTTCGGAAAGATCCAAGTGACTTACCCTTTTCTTAGCGCATAACCCCGACTTCGACAGCGATCGCGACCGATGATCCTTGGCGCTTTGCCATCATCATCACAGGTTGCACGAAAGGATCCCCACGGGTATGTGTGAGTACGATTCGGAGAGGGAGAACCATCGCGCGTTAAGTCTTGTCTTGTGGGTTATCGCCCAGCGTCTGGGGGGATGCACCAACTCTCACGTGTCGCCGACTTTTTTTTGTGTCTATTTCAAGCTTTTTGATGAATGTGTTGGTCTCGTGGGTGCCTCGGCTATCGGCTTCACTATTACTGTTTGTCATTTGTTGTCGTGTTTTGTTTTTTTGCTTCGTTGGGTGTTGTTTTTTGTCCCACGGTGATTGGTTTGGTCGTTTTTGCTCCTTCGTCTTTTATTCGGCTTCGACCTTGCTAAACCGGCGGCTGGCCAATGACGAGGACGCCAGATTCTTTTTTGTGAATTTTGTGGTTTGTTGTGTTTTTTCGCGGAAGGGTGTGTACCAGCTCTCTGTGCGAACTGCTTGAGGAGGAAGGGGGAGAGGGGAGTCTTGTTCAGCGCTACGCACGCGTATTTTCTAGACCAGACCAAGAGGTCGGTTGTCCTCTCGACTGGCTAACTCCGTCCAGTTTGGAATGTGGAAAAAAAATGTGCTACAATAAAAAGTAGAAGAAGGGCAGGTACCTGTGCGACCCGCACTGTGAACAAACGTAGGTTTCAACGTACACTCGTAGCTAGCTGTAGCAGAGAGACCTTAGTCTTACTAGGGAACGTTTACGCGGTAAGGCGCTGTTGCCACAGCAGTAGTAGAAGACAGCTTTTCGAGAAAAGAACCGCACCGCTGGGGGCCGGGTAGACGCGGAAGGGGGGCAGGTATCTGTTGTGCATGCGTTTGGTTCGCCGCCCAGTCTACTACTGTACCTTCCGCCGGCATTGTTTTCTTTCGCCGTCGCCTAGATTGTAGTCCCATCCACATGTTTTCACCAACGATTTAGGGTATGCACTGCATTTGCCATCACTTTTTTTACATGGATGGGAAAGTGCCCCCAAAGCACACACCGCGGCGACAGACTGTGTTTTTCGCCTGTTCTCAAAGTACGAAAGTATCTCGAAACTTGCTGGTTGAACCCCCGGGCCATTGTCCCCGGGCCACTTCTGTTCGATGCAGACGCTTTGGGTTGTTCGGGGGGGG